AGACTAGAAAGGCAATTTGAACTGGTTAAGCACAAAGCTGGGTGGAGAAGCAAGTAGGAAAAAAACCTGACAGACGCTTCTGAGCAGGTGAAAGACAGAGACCAGAAAGGGAAGGAAGTAGAAGACTGTGGTACAAAATGAATTTTTTAGCACAAAAGCATCAAACTTGAAAAATTACATTAAAAATGCAATGAAGTACATAAACTAATATCCAAAATGTGTTTAAACTATGAAAATGAGTATCAATATCCAATGAAAAGAACCGACTTTGTTGAGTTTAATTAAGCATCAGCAAAGAAAACAAATTGCTCAAAACTAGAAAACAAAAGTAAGATACTGAATAGAGAAAGTCACCCATTACCACTGCAACCTGAAAAAGGATTTCTGAGTGATAGTATGTGATTGCACTGCATCAGCAGTATAAACACAAGAGGGTGCAAACTCAAACTGTGGCACACCAGGTGTTCTACTGTGCCTGTTCAAGGTATTTCACATTCCTTACAGTATTTCACATTCATTATAATACACAAGCTGATCAATGGCAACTTCTTTACACTGTATTTACTGAAAAAGTCCTTTGATGGCATAATCAACATTTACTAACACATAGTCTAGATTTGACTGTATGACTTTGAATCTTACTGTTCTCTTAAAGCACTTTGCCTTTAACAAATCTTACAAATATGAACGCAAGCATACAGTCCTAGCTGGCTGAAACAGGACTTAATTAATATCTCTGAAAAACAAGATGAGTAACCTGTACCCATTGCTGCCACAATAACTACCATTTAGGTACGTTATTGAATTAAACTCAGTCAAGGGAAACGCTTTTTCTCAAACACTGACTCTTTGCAGAAAGGCACTGCAACTACAGTAAATACAAGTAGTATCTTCTTGTAAATAGAGAGCACGAGCTGCAGTCTTGTACATTAAGAGCATGCCTGATACGGATTTCTTTTGCCATGAGACGTACTTGTAGTAAGAGTCTACATATTAATTTTATAAAACAGAAATCGTATTGTTAGCATGTTTAATCATAATACATTATTTTCCTCATATCTCAGTCTTCCTTTTGTTACCTTCTTGTCTTTCTCAGAACCATCTGTGAGAAGGATCCCCTTGGCTTGCATGTGACGGTACAGTATCTTCTGAAGAGCTGACATATCACATTTGATCACATATTCCACCTAGTGTAAAAAAAAAAAAAGCAACTATAAGCACACTGACATACTACTGTAGTAGGACTTAAATGGAGGTTCTTGTCACCCTAAAACACAAACCAAAGAAACTACTAATCTTTTATCTGTAGCCTAACACCGCACACAATTTCAGTGCACAGTAATCCAACTGCAATCACAGCAATGAGCATCTCAAATATCTGAGTCATGACTACGAGACAACTGGATCGTAAGAATGTAACTGCAGCATTACCAAACACTTTTTTTCTTACTCTGTAATTCTGACAATTTTAAAAAACAATTTTAAACTAATTTTATGTTTAACATGTAATTAGAAGGCATTTTACATTTAATAACCTGTGGACTCTATTATGTCTGTAAAGCATTATAAAAATATCAAGCAAAGCAGCATAAAAGTACCATCATTGTATATCTAGCACATAAGCATCCCTCATAGTGTCTAAGTAGCATAATGCTTACCTAGGTTGTCACAGAAACATATAATTATTACAACATCCACAGAACACAGGGTATGAATCAAGTACTGTATGATCCTTATATTCAGCCCAACTTGTTCAGCTTTGTACAACTATATTTATTAAAGCAGTTTTTAACTGCACGCTAGATTTAAATTCAGTAATTCGAAGACCTCATACCCCAATTTAATCCATTTTTTCTGTTACCCAATTTCCAGTTTACAGCCCTTATGTTTTAGTAAGTTATGTCAAATATAAAGTCACACAATAAAGTCACAGTAGTGGTTAGAAATCTTTCAAGTTGTGACTAAAAGACAAAGTATAAGCCTCCTAATATTTAATAAATAAACAGAATGAAAATGATCAGCTTATTTTCTTCTCAGAAACACAGAAGTATGAACTCATTAAAGACAAGTGACTATTTCTTCAATAGTTTCTTTACCCCAATTTGTAAGAACAAATGAAACTGATTAACAGGCTTTGGTGAGTAAGTTCAGTCCTCGTGGCTGGACAAACTGCTTTTTTAATACACAAGAAAATGGGAAACAAAAAGATACATGGTCCTCTGAGTACCAGTGTGTATGCAACTCTGCAATGCTCCTTTTCCAATGCCTGTTAATGGATTTATCAAATACAGTGGCTGCAACTGGCAAAAGTTTGAACAGAAATAAGGATTTCAGTATTATTTTCAAATGCAAGCTTGAGTTTCATTCTCAAGCAAATGCTTCTGAGGATATTAAGAATCTGACACTTGAAGGAAGAGAAAGTCACAACAGTAATGGTGTTCAAAATATTATAAAGGTGAGAAAAGAGATTTGCGTATTGTCACTAACCACCTATCCAGAGTTCTTCATTTATTCAATCAGCGTTAGTCAGCTCATACCACACAAATGTTTCATTTTAGTATGGTTTTAATCCAGTTGACCTTAGACCAAATTTTCCTCAGCTCACCTTTAAATCTACTTTTTTATTTGGTTGTTGTTGTTATTCTGGGAAGTGTGAATGGGATGAGTGATGCAGAATCCCAGAGGAGGACATGGTGGGACAAGATGAGTTGCCCAGAAATAAAAACCATGACCTTTGAAATCAGAAGAGAATTTGATGTTCTGAATTAAAAAGCCACTAGTTAAAAAAACTGCAATTTCAACAAGACACCTCACACAACTACTGGAATGATACCACAGGACCAAATTCTCCCTGCTGTATGAAGTCCATCAGGAATTTCAGTGACCTAGCTAAGGGACCAAAGATTCTACCCAGTGCAAGGAGGATAGAACAGGACAGAAATCAACTCCTCAGTGTGTAGCTGACTCACTTACAACTTGAGACCATATTCTATGGAATTAAAGCTGGTGAGGAATCCTGAGAATGCAGAAACTTCAGGTATTCAGGCTTTCTCACTGGTCAGCTTTCTTTGAAGAATTACAACCAAACCACAGCAATAACAATGCTAAAGAAGTCCTCTTCTGCAAAACACATCTGAAAAAGGAACACTACTTAATGCTTAAAAAGAATCTTAAACCCCTTCCAAAACTCCTCTCATTGCAAACCTTTTCTGGCAGTTGAGACTCAACCTCTTTCTTCAGTCTTCTCAACAAGAAGGGTCGAAGCACTTTATGGAGACGACGGATGATCAGAATAGTTTCTTCCTCATTTAAGTCCACCTACAGAAGTTTATAAAAGTCACTACAAGGCAACTCAGTATATTAGGTAATGTTTTCTCTCACATGAAAGGTTAAGTATGTGTAATAATTACTTGCATCTTACAACCAAACTGACTCTTGAGTCAAAAAACCCACTGATACTAAATTTTTCTGGTATACAAAAAAAGTGACTTTTAGTTATGTTAACTCCCTAAGTACCAGGAAGAGTTCAAACACTAATCCTTCTGTATAAGTTCCTTTCTGTTTTCATCAAAGCGGTTTGTTTCTGATCTTTTAAAAAAAACTGCCACAGTACCCTTTCTCCAGTCATGGCAAATGGAGCGTTGAACCACTGTTCAAAGGTGCTACAGCTCTTGAAAATGGTTGGGAGGAGGAAATTGAGAAGAGCCCAAAGTTCAGGCAATTTGTTCTGCAACGGAGTCCCAGTCAGCAGTATTCGCCTAGGGGCCACATAATGAGTATTTAAGACCTGAGTCAGCTTGCAGTGATGGTTCTTCATTCGATGGCCTTCATCTACTATCATATACTTCCACCGAATCTGAAAGAAAATGAAGAGAAGTTGGCAAAGTTAGAGCAGGTCAGACTTTGTCAAATTCCTCCCAACAGATGTAGAACAAACCCATTTCAAGCCTGAGATATTAGTCATTCTTGACTGTGAGAAAAGCCAAATCAAGCATTATGCAAGTACCGGTATCCTTGCAAGCAGCATTAGCAGAGACAAACACTAGGTACGCGCAATCTGATGGTGAATTCTGGCTGGAATTGCAACACCAAACAGCAGATTTCCTCCATTTCTGAGAAAGAGACTAGAATGACTGGCTCTTCAAGGCCACAACATCATTCACAGTGGAAGAAAGAAACCACATAAACTCCAAATAAATCTGTCTGCAACAAGAACTCTGACAGGAGAGAAAATAATTTTCCAACAAAGTAAGTATGCTCACAAACAACAGTAACCTTCAACTTTCTTTCATTTCAGCTAATCTTGTCCTCTTACTTGAACGCCAAGCAGCATAATTCCAGTTTTCTCAGTTACTGCATTTTCAGCTAAAGTTTAAATGTCTTAATTTGAAAGCTTAAATGCAGTCACAGATATTGAGAGATATTGCTCAAGCTCTCTGTTACCACCTGTACTACAATGTGAGCAGTCATCACAAAGGCCACAATGAACACATGACTAGAAAGGCCTCAGTTTGTACTTTCATAGTTGCTGACTTCATTTCCCAGGATAGGCTGAACGGCACGGTGCTGTTCTTCCTATCTTTCAGCAAGGGTGGGCAAAACTAGAGGGAAAGGAAAACTCTGCAGCCTCAAGCTGTTTTCAAGCATTTAGAATTATGCTAAGAAAATGCACTCCTTTCATATCACAGAGGACGAATGGGTAATATAAATATGTAGTCTAATAGAAGGCAATAAAGTGAAAATGAACAACTACGGGACACAAGGACCATACATATGGTTTCTCTGTATAGCAAAATACCTCCTTAGTCTGCTTTGTGTGTACACAAAAGAGCCTTACAGCACAGCAGTTTTCTATT